CCCAAAGCTAAATTTGCTTGTGGATTCTTGCTTTACTGACTACTGAGCATCATTAGTTAGCAGTAATATTCTGATAAAAAGTAAACTTTGTGTTACTGATACTGAATCAAGTTAAATCCCATTGTATCAATCTCAAAGATTTTGTGAACATTTTGCAAGAGTCTATGGAACTTTAGACTCGCAGTCCATGTTCCAAAAGCAAAAAGAGATCAGATCCATTTCTTCAGTAGGTGCTCCCTGATCTGCTGAGAATCTCCAGCATTTTCTAGTTTTGTAGGCAATTTTAATCATCTACACTGTTTTGTTTTTGAAACATTGACTGTAAGCCTAAAGTTCTACAGAGTCTTATAAATGGTTGAAACCTACATGATGCTTCCATTGCAATCATCTGGGATGGAGACATTTAATAGTTTGGGCAATTGGTTCATACCTTTAAAGATGCAATTACAGGAAAAGTACAAGAAAATTAAACTAAGTTGAGGCCCTTATCAGAGTAATCATTAAAATCACCCAAGACACTGCAATCCTCATAGGAAATGTCAGGACAACAGTTTTAAGGTCATCCCTTTACGCCTCACGATCCCTCTCCACTTGAGCAGAATTTTCAGTTACAATTCTGTGGGATCTGCGTACTATCCAAATTGCAATCCCAAACTTTGGGCCCTGTGTGATTTTGTACACTAATTGAATCATTGGTGATTCAGCTTGCTTCAGGTAGTCACATTTCACTATAATCTAGATTAGTAGTTGACAGCAGGAGTAAACTCTGAGAAAATATCATATGTCTGTCCATTGAAGTGCTGCAGAGCATGAAGCAACTCATAATTATTTCAATAGGGCTGAGGTTTCAGTGGAAAGAGCGAAGGTGGGACAGGGATCCAATGTAGATCTGGTTTTCTCAAGAATTAGATGAATGTAACTTTGAACACTATGTCCTCACTTTGATTTTCAGAAGAATTCCATGCTTTCACTGGCAGAACAGGGACCATAGATTATTTGGTTCAATATTTGTTCTGCCAGGTAAAGAGTTTAATCTTAATTCACAGAATTGCTACATCCCAGATTACACCATGTGCAATTTTTTAAATTTATAATCATATAACAACCATTCGAAACAATTTGTTTTGTTAGACATGAGAGATGGCATGTTGAGAGTAGTCAAATTCTAACTAGCTTGAGCTTGAACTATCAGCATTGACCATTACAGAATATAATCAAATCGAAGAACACTTCTGCAGGAATGAAGGTAATCTGGAGATAAAATAAGTCATGGGCCGTCGTTATGTCTCAGAAGGAGTCATTATGTCCATCTAGCCTGTGCCTTAGATTTCATAATGAAGCAAAGCAAAATGCTTACTTATTGTTGAATTCTAACAAAAAGGTTTATATTGAAAAGTTAGTAGCTTGCATTTTCAAATTTCATTAATGATTTTCATCATCTACACTATTTTGCCTTTTTGTTCAAATAATTTATTTCCTTCACTAGATATTGACATATTTAAGGAGACTAGGAAAACTAGAAGAATATAATAAAAGGAAAAAATGCAACATGATCTAAGTTAAATTAAAGCCAACTAATTGAAATGCATTTCTCAGACAAAAACATCAGCAATAAGTACTCAAATGACCCACAAATGAGTTAAAGTGATCAGTTAAATTGTTTTTGGTGCTGTCTAAAGGATAAATTTTGGCTAAGACGCCAGATGGTTCCCATCTTTTTGAAAATAAAGATGTCTGGGATCTTTTATTCCCACTGGAAAAGGCAAATGTGGCATTGGTTTAAATCTCACCTGAAAGATGTCAACTATGGTATTGCAGTACTCCTGCAGTAACAATTATGTGTTCAAATATAAAAGTTAAAGAAAAAAGCTGCCAAGATTTCCTTAGTAGCTCAGTTGGTTAAGGCAATAAATTGCTGGAACATATACTTCAGGAACGTCTACTGAGTTTACTGTACATGCTTAATACAGTTGTACAACTATCAGGGATAGAAACCTACAGTTCTTGTTCCTAATCACAGTCCATAAATTCCTACTATAAGTGCATGCACGTGTCAAATCAGAGAGATCTTATAAGTGCTACTATCTATGGTTGAAGAACAGGAACAGAAAACTTTTGAAGAAACAAGGATTTGTATTATAGGTCAGTTGATCAGTGGATCAGAGGGTCAAAAACCAGGGGGTCTAAGCGTTCAAAAAGTTTGTATCAATAGACATTGACTGAAGGTACTAAATCTGATTTGATGTCCATAGGGTAGTGAGGGAAAACACATCTATGACTTTTGCATCTAGTCATTATTTAATGATTCCCAGTATATACATGGACATTAAGTGTGAACAGGAATGATCTAAATGGTGAAATATCAATTGTCAAATACCTTGATGACATTCAAATTTGATCACTTGAGTGAGATACTGGAGAGCTACTCTTCTCCATTGTACTGTCCTCAAAAACAATTTAATGCCTGCATAGAGGTGTGAAAATTGAAGGAAACAATTGTCATCAGTTGTGTCTCTCTTCTAATACTCAAATAGAAAAGGTTGCAAAGCACTAACAGACAAACCAAATAGATGTAGCATAATATTCAGATCCAATTTTATCCTTAACCTAAGCTGCTGAAGTTAACTTTTGTTGTCCTATTAATGTGTTGGCTGAGGAAACAGCAAACCTGGGATGCTCTGCTGTGTACATGATGCAACTGTACAGTGACATGTATAAAAAAAAAGCTATTAGATAAAGCTGTCAAACATGGAATAATATTGTGAGAAACTTGAAATGATTTATTACATATGGAAGTAAAATCTTACCAAATCTAATCTAAATAGGTTGTAATATATATGTATAAAATAGTGACACTCCAATCCTTGAAATTAAATTTTAGAATAAAGCGGGAATATTATGGTTTCACACCATTGGAACATCTCAAAGTTTCACAAATCTACACAAGACAAAAAAAGAGCAGCATCAAGCTTAAAATTTTAACTGTTCTACTCTAACAATATATTCCATCAGTACTTATTATTAAGATCAGATATCTGATAAATTTTCTGTTCAACATTTGTCCCCCCATGTGATCGAACACCATGAGAAAAGTGGGGATGGGTGACTGGGGCACTCCAGAACATAACCTCATAACAAAATCAAACTGATTCAGGAGTTGTGGTGCTACATTTGGCTGCTGCCTCTGGATTAAAGAAACAAACAATAAACCAGATTCTCAGAAATGAAAACAAAAATTATTGGAAACACTCAGCAGCATTTACAGAGAGAAAGCAGAATTGACATTACAGGTCCAGTGACCCTTCTTCAGAACAGTTGGTAGCTACGATGGGGTTGGTGTATAGATGGGATTGGGTGAGAGGAGAAAGGAATAAATGATAGGTGGAGATGAAGCCCAGGGAGAGAGAGAAAAACAATTGGGCAGACAAAGGAACAGGTAAAGGTCAGTCCAGGAGAATGAATAGCTGTTAATGAAGACCATTAGCGACTGACAATGAGTTGTTCGTGGTAGTAGCCCATGTTACAACAAGGGCTGGTGTGTTGGAATTGGGGTAAGAACATGGGAGAAGGTGCCTCAAGCCCTAAAATTGTTGAACTCGATATTGAGTCCAGAAAGCTGCAGGGTCCCCAAGCAGAAAATTGAATGCTGTTCTTCTAGCTCGCACTGAACTTCACAAAAGCACTGCAGCAAGCCCAACACTGAGATGTCAACTAGGGAATACAATGGTGTGTTGAAATGGCAGGCAACTTGAAGCGCAGGATCATTTTTGTGGACAGAACATAGGTGTTCTGCAAAACGATCACCCAGTCTGCGCTTCATTTCCCCAATGTAGAGTAGACCACATTATGAGCAGGAAATGCAGTAGACTAGATAAATTCTGGAAGGTGTGTCCGAGGCCTTGGTTAGTGAGGAGGGAGGAAGTAAATCAGCAGGTGTTTCACGTTCTGTGTTTGCATGGGAAGGTGCTGTGCGGGTAGAGGAGTGAACTAGGGTGTCCGGGAGGGAACTGTGCCTGTGGAAAGCTGGCAAAAGGAGGGCAATATATGTCTGGTAGTGGCATCTCACTAGAGGTGGCAGAAATGGCAGTTAATGATCCTTTGAATGTGGATGCTGGTGGGATGGCAGGTGAGAATGAGGGGACCCTATCGCTGTTGTAGGAGGGAAGAGATGGAATAAGGGCTGATGGGTCAGATACAGCTGAGCACCCTGTCGACCATGGTGCTGGGGAATCATGTGCTGAGGAAGAAAGTGGACATTTTGGAGGCCCCCTGCTCAAAGTTGGCATCATTGGAACAGATGCGATGGAGACAGAGGAACTGGGAGAATGGAACAGAGTCTTTAGAGGAAGCAGGGTGTGAGAATATATAGTCAAGGTAACCATGGAAATCAGTGGGTTTGTAATGGATATCGGTGGCCAGCATATCCCCAGAAATGGAAACAGAAATGTCAAGGAAGGGAAGGGAAGAATCAGAGATGGTTCAAGTGAAGGTGAGAGCAGGGTGAAAATTGGAAGTGAAATTGATAACTTTTTCCAATTCCAGATGCGAGAGAGAAACAGGAACAAGGAATGATCCACGTGTCCCAAAAAGAGACTGGCATAACTGGGGCCCATGTGGGTACCGTGGCCACCCCTTTATGCTGAGCCCTTGTTGAAAATATGCAGATCTATGACTATTGGTGAGAACAGTAACGTCCAGGATGTTCAACTATCATACCAATACAAGTTGTCTAACATGCACAAAGAATGGTCAATTGATCCAGGGAGAGGAGTGCATCATTGCTGTGGTATTGTCAAGGCAAGTTACTGCCTCAAAGGAACAAAATTGAAAATTGAAAACTGAAATAAATGTCATTAACTACATTTAATTTGTCAACAATCGGGTGTATTTGAATTGTTTTACTCTAATGCAAAATATCTGCTCTGTGGTAAAATAAGAATGATCCAGTCATTATTCATGCAGATAAAATTTTAATTTATTTTGTTGCATTAACCATGTGCATATGGAAACTATGATATAAATGTGAAAATGCAAGAAGCATGTCTTTTTTAACCAACAACCTAAGCTGATAGTGCAATCCATCAGTGATGGGATTTGATGCTGAATCTTGATTCATTATGATTAGGACTGATATAAGACTTGTTTTATCTGTCTCATAGGTTGTTAGGAAATGAGTCATTCTGTGTAAAAGTGGCCCCTTTTTCACAGGAAATCTATGAAATCCATGCCTGGTTGCACCATGCAATAGATATGATTTTAAAAGCTTGCATTTCACATTAGGGAGCATTTTCCTTTCAGTTTATCTTTTCTTTTTTGCTGTTTAGATTTCTTTCCATCCACTTGGAGACTCACTGCCCTCCTCTTTTCCAAATTAAGCAACTCCTGGAAAAGTTCCTGTACATTGTAGTTGAGTTTGGCAGAGGTTTCCATGAAAGAACACATCCACTTTGTGGCGAGAGCTTCTCCTTCAGCAGCCTCCACTTCCCTTTGAGTCTCATCACTCTTATTTCCCACTAACATAATAGGGATGTTCTGAATGTTCCCTTTGATTTGACAGATCTGCTCATAGATGGGCTGCAATTCCTCCATGGATTGTTTGCTTGTGACAGAGTAAACTAGAATGAAGGCATGCCCTTTGGAAATAGACAGCCTCTGCATTGCAGGAAATTGATGGCTGCCTGTGGTGTCCGTGATTTGAAGTGTACAAATATTTTTATCACAGCTGATTACCTGCCTGTATGTATCTTCAATTGTTGGAATGTATGTTTCTCTGAAAGTTCCTCTAACAAAGCGCAGGACTAAGGAACTTTTCCCAACTCCTGCAGCTCCAAACACAACAACCCGGTAATCGTTGCTTTGCTCTGGCATTTCTGAAGATTATCTGCAGATTTGTGAATGAACAATAAATCCTTTGCAGTTAAGAATTGGTTTAATGGTGTGTAATTCTAGCGCCTTACATTCCCACAGATGTTGTGGAGCTGTAAAAACAAACAAACAAGCAAACATTCAATTAGCCTCATGTCCTATGCATCAGAGACCAATATTTCCACCTCCATACCAGCACCTGTTTCCAACATTACCTTAGCACATCTGCTGGATCAACATTGCCTCATTACTTTTGGTAATTCCAAAAGCTCCTGCATCCCATCTCTTATTACCCATATACTTATGAGTTCATTTAAAACTCTGTTGAGTGGAATCAGACATTAACTCAAAGTCAAAGGTGCTACAGTATTCTGACAGCAAAATAAACAAATGGTAAGGGATAAATTGTCAGCCAGGCTTCCCAAACCCTTTCCACTGTGACTTAGTATGAGGCTTGAAAATTGTCACAGTACTTTGAAGGAAGGGTAGGAGGGAGGGCAAAGGGAGGAAATAGGGAGTGGGCAGTGAAAATGGAGTTGGGGAGTGACTGTGGATGTGGGGTGGAGACCTGAGAGCAGGGGCTGGGTGGGGTACTCTGCAAGTGGGTCCGGTTAGAACAGGAGCACAACTGGTACAATTTAGTCAGAGCTGCAGAACAGACACTGTTGTCTTGGTACTCATGACACCAATTTTTTTTAAACTCATTCATGGGATGAGGGCTTTGTTGACTAGACCAGCATTTATTGAAGAGAGAGCAGTTAAGAGTCAACCACATCACTTTGGGTCTGGAGTCAAGGCAGACCAGACCCGGTATGGACGGCAGTTTCCTTCCCTAAAGGGTATCAGTGATCCAGACCGGGTTTTCCTGACAATCAACAAGGGATTCATAGTCATCATTAGACTCTTGATTAAATTCAAATTCCACAATCTGCAATAGTGGCATTTGAACCTGGGTCCCCAGAAACATTACCTGAGTATCTGGGTTAACAGTCTAGTGATAATGACACTAGGCCATTGCCTCCCTGTGCTTGTGATGCCACTCTTCATTCTGGTCCTTGATGTAAGGAGCGGCTTAAGGGAGAGAGCTAGAGAGGTCTGCAGGGAGAATTTTAGCAGTCGAGCTGAAATAGCTGAAGATATGTCCACAATTGGTGTGGCAATTGGGAATGCACACAAGGCCTATGTTTAATTTTATCTTCACTACCATAATTACCAATTGAGATAGAAGGACAATAATGCTTGCCACCCAACCAAATCGGCCCCTATGAAACAAAAATGACCTCAAATTCACTAACTAACCAACTGAGAATTGTCTGTATCAGTGTGCTCTTGTGGTATGCACCATTTAATCAAAAATGTGCAATAGCCCCATTGAATATATTTGCGAACATAGCCTCTTCAATATTCAATTAAAAGACATTATTGGGTAACAAATTGAAGCAGATCAAGGAGAAAAACAAATAGTTGTAATCAAAATCAATTAGTTTGTGGCTTTCATGGAAGAGTTCAGTAAATTATAGAATTGATCCCAAATCATCCATACAAGTCCCAGAAAATCCCATAAACTCAAGATAAAATGTTTGGTAGTCACACAGACCAATAGCTCTAACTTCAACTAATTAAATCACAGAAGTCAATTCTAAAATACTGGGGAAAAATCCCATGCAAAGGAAATGTAATTTCCTATTTTCAATCATTCTAGTTATAGAGTCATCGAGTTATACAGCACGGAAATAGACCCTTCGGTCCAACCAGTCCACAATGACCAGATATCCTAAATTAATCTAGTCTCAAATTGCCAGCATTTGGCCCATATCCCTCTAAATCCTTCCTGTTCATGTACCCATTCAGATGCCTTTTAAATGTTGTAATTGTAGCCGCCTCCACCACTTCCTCTGTCAGCTCATTCCATACACGCACCACCCTCTGTGTGAAAATGTTGCCCCTTAGGTCCCTTTTAAATCTTTCCTCTCTCACCTTAAACCTATGCCCTCTAGTTTTGGACTCTCCCATCCTGGGAAAACGACCTTGGCTATCCGTGCCCCTCATGCTTTTATAAACGTCCAGCTCTTAAGTCTGATATATTCCAATCAACACCTCTGCTGGAGAGAGAGAGAAAAAAACACATCTTCCTTCAGACTCCACTAAGATCATTTCGCACGATAATTTGAGCTGCCAATCTGCATGTAAGAGGCTGGGGGAATGTGAAATGCAGTCCACATACCGGCGGCAAGGTTCCCAGGAATTCCAAGTCTGCCCAGTTCACAGAGGCTACTCGCGCAACAGATGGGATGTCAAAATCGATCCCAGTGCCCTGTTATTAGAGATAGGTCAAAAACCAGGCAGTACTGTTGCTCCGCACAGCAGTCCTGGCCGACCTGTACACGTTGGTGCTGCGTGAATACACAATCAAATGGAGCTGTTCCAAGTAGCCTCTGGCCATTCGCAGTCTACAATGCCGGGTAAAATCGAGGTACCTTGACTGGCTGGTGTTAGTGCAGCCACAGGAGCTGAAAGGAAAGGTGGCAACACGGAGCACTTCAGGAATTTCGGGAAACGAGCAATCCCAGCCAGTTCTGTATGTCTCCGCTCTCTTAAAATTGGGGCATAGAAACTCACTGGAGAAAGGAAATCCCTGGAAATGACTAAAGAAGTGACGATGTGTGGGGGGAGAAGATCACTGGAAAGATCTCCGTCTGACGTCAGTTGCAGAATTCTGTCCCGGGGTCGATTCCCTGCCTCCAGCTTCTGAAGCTGGTCTCTACAAACAGCTCTCCAAATTAGCCTCCACAACACTCGCCTCCCACCAGCTTTCTTTCTTCTACCTCTCCAGTTATTTGCAGTTTCTCCCTCCCTTCAGCTATTTTCTCCCACTCCTCCAGTTATTTTCTTCAACCTTTCCAGTTATTTTCTCCCTGTGTCCTCCAGTTATTTTTGTTTATATATATATTATATGGTGGACAGCTAATATTATATGCTGCACACATTGCAATTGATGCAACTAATTCTTTTCGGTGCATTTCTGATGGTTGAAATAGACGGTTCTGCCTTTCAAATGGCTTTTCAATCTGGAACCTGGGATTTCTAACGGAGATGGGAGCACCGATTAAACTGCTCAAGGCTCCGGAGCTACCCACTGTAGATCAGACATCCCCAGAGCCCTGAGTGAATTAAACCGACACCCCGCGGGCGAGCGAACAGACACTGTTCCTAGAATTAGATTCATAAATGACAATACTTTTACGTTTTAAAAAAGCAAGATACAAGAGAAAATCGCTCACTCGCTGTTTACCCAACCTCCAGCAAGACAGACACTCCCAGACCCAAGCGAGCTGGCAATGATAGCTATTTGACGAGTAATGTATATGAATTTACAGTCATCGGGCTATTACGACAAATCGTACAAAAAAAATCTCTTTATAACGATCATGGTCTTCCATCCATCTCCACCCGCTCCCCAATTTAAAACATCCTTTCCAATTGTACATACCTCATGTCTGTTCCATGGAGGGTTTTTAACAGTATATAAAAATTCCTGCGTACACTATTTGCCATATAGAAAGCGGGGTCAGGGAAATTCCATTCCTGTCGGGGGAGAAGAGAATACATTTGAAATAAAGCGAGTAAATTCCGACCTTTCTCCCAAGGAAGGTAAATAAAAAAGTCTTCCCGTGGTTTGATTTATGTCCTACTCTCTACACTCGGATTCTTTACGCGACACGTGACAGGGAAAGGCGACTGTTTGTATCGATTTTCGAAAATAACAACCCCGATTTTCATTCATTTTTTTGTCTATGTGGAACAGTCCATTCATGGAGCTGACAATTGAGTGTTAATGGCAGCTTCATGGAAATACATGAATTTCCAACAGAATAATAGGCCATTCAGCCCAACCAATCAGTCTCAGTGTTTACCCCTCCCATAGAATTCCATTCATACCTCCCCTGTTCCCACATACCCCCTATTCCTTTATCCTTGACCTACATCAGCTCTTCTTAAAAGTAACAGAGTGGAGAGATGTAGCTCCTAATTCCCTGCAATGGTGAAGAGCCTCTCCAGTTCCCCTGCATCTGAATAACACAGAAATAAACCAGACACAGATTGGCTCCAGCGACTTTTGAAACCCATTTGGGAAAAAAAGTCATCTCAGAATGATACATCAGTTACTGGATCTCACATACAAATGGGCAGTACTTGTGCTGTGTTGTGCCAACTGTTGAGCCTTCTAACCCCAGAAATCCTGGGGAAATCCATTAATGATAAAGTCCAGCAAATGTACAGCTTGAATTATAGTGAGTGCAGGTCAGGCACCAGCACTTCCTCTGGACCTCCAAACTATTGTGTTTCTCTCCAACACATTGGAAGCACCCCACCCTGGGGTTGCCACTTTCCTCCCAGACTTTGTTGATTTCTAATCTTCAGTCAGTGAATTTTCCATCATGTCTGCTAAAGTGGGTTGCAGTGGGCAATGCCCACATTGGCAGCAGTTAAACAAAGTTCAAAGCTGAATTTGACTTGGATCTTTACTTGAGATAGATTGGCACAAGCATGGCAATGCCAATTTCATGTCTGTTTTGGACATAAGTTGAATTTCTTGCCAAAGTTCATTTGAAGATACCAAGAACTGCAGATGCTGGAGTCAGAGTCAACACAGTGTGGAGCTGGAGGAACACAGTGGGTCAGGTTATATCAGGTTATATCAGAGGAATTTATATCAGTTGAAACCCTTCTTCAGAACTTCAGAACTGAAGAAGGGTCCTGACCCAAAACGTCAGCTTTCCTACTCCTCTGATACAGCCTGACCTGCTGTGTTCCCTCAGCTCCACACTGTGATGACTTCTCGCCAATAGTTTCTGCCTCAATCACTAACCTTAAAGTAATTAAGCCTCATCACAATCTTTTCTCTGTAAATAATTTTCTTCTGCCCTCTGTCCTAATTTCTTAACATGTAATTTCCAACCTTCGCATCCTATATTATTCCTCAACTACAACAATAGCCTGCAATTGTATTGGATCTCATTTAATGTCTTAACGTGCTGTACGAGAAATAGCCTAGCGCTGTGCACTTTGACTCGACCTTTTGTCAAAGAGAAGCAGCCACCACAAAATACTGAAAATTGCTAGGGGGAGGGAGGTGATTTGATTTCCTGTGACGCTGACATAAGAATGAATGATACCCAATGAACTAGCAATAATTTACTAACTTCCAAAAATGCATTGAGTTCAGCTACTAGGAGCAGTCGGATATCAAGGGGACAAGAAGAGGAAAAGTTACTACTATGTGAGTAGAAACATTTGTAACAAAACATGCTATCTTAACAATGTTGCACAAATGTTGTGACCAAAAGTTTGCCTATTGCAAAAGATGTTGATAAATACAACACACCAGGAAACCAAATGTTCAAGGAGGACAGAATAGATAGGAAATAATTTTACATGCAGGAGATAGAGAGTAGACTCTGAATGGACAGAAAAAAAATCATCTGGCTAGAACATTGAGTTAAAAATAAGTCTAAGGACTTGATGCAATCAGCCACCTCTGAATAACAGGAAGAACATAATGTATAATAAAGGAATAATGGGGGTGTATGATATACACAACTTATTTCATTAAGAAGTTTCCAATTAATGAGATGCTCATTGGCAAGGCTGCGTACTCAGCACCTTTCTCTACTGTTTATATACTCATGACTATGTGGCCAGATTCAGCCCTGATTCCATTTACAAATTTGCTGATGACACCACTGTAGTGGGTCGGATCTCAAACAATGATGAGACAGAGTACAGGAAGGAGATAGCTTAGTGCATAGCATAAAGACAACAATCTCTCCCTCAATGTCAGCAAAACAAAGAAATTGGTCATCGACTTCAGAAAATAGATGGATGACACGCCCCAGTCTGTATCAATGGTGCTGAGGTGGAGATGGTCAAGAGCTTCAAGTTCCTAGAAGTAAATATTCACCAACATTCTATCCTGGTTCACCCATGTCGACAATACAGTCAAGAAAGCACATCAATGTCTCTACAACCTCAGAAAGCTAAGGAAATTCAGCATGTCCACAATGACTCTTACCAATTGTTATAGATGTACCATTGAAAGCATTCTATCCAGACGCATCCGGATGGCAACTGCTCTGCCCAAGCCTGCAAGAAATTACAGGGAGTTGTGAACACAGCCCACTCCATCATGAAAAGCAGCCTTCCTTCCATTGACTCTGTCTACAATTCTTGCTGACTCAGGAAAATAGCCTACATAATGAAAGACCCCTCCTACCCAGGTTGTACACTCTTCCGCCCTCTTCCCTGGAGCAGAAGGTACATAAGTATGAAAACATGTACCAACATATTTAAGAACAGCTTCTTCCTCACTGTTATCAGACTTATGAATGGACCTCTCATATATTAGAATTAATCTTTCATTGTAGCCATAACACTATATTCTGCATTCTATTCTATTACCCTAACGTACTTATGTAAGTTTTGATTTGTCTGGATAGCATGCAAAACAATATGTTTTCACTGTATCTCGACAGATTTGACAAGAAAAATTCAAATCAAATCAAGTGGCGATATCGTGAGTAGATAATGTACCACTTATTATGTCAGAGAAGACATAGGTGAAACTTTATACTTGAATTGGTGATGAAAAATTATCCTGAAAATATGTGGAAAATGTAAAACTGCTGGCTGATATTGACTAGAGTGTGATTAAGACTGAAATAATTTGGGAGTCAGTCAATGCTGTTAGAGTCCGCAACCAAGACAGGTAATTTCAAAAGACAGCCAAAAATAATTTTAAAAATTAGTCTGGGAATTTGGACATCATTGACATTTACTGCTCTCCTCTAATTGCACAGGAAGATGGTGGAGGACCATGTTCTTGATCTACTGCAGTCTGTTTAGTGAATGTACTCTCACAGGTTATTATATAAGTTATAGAGTCATAGAGATGTACAGCACAGGAGCAGACCCTTCAGTTCAACTCATCCATGCTGAACAGATATTCTAAATTAATCTAGTCCCATTTGCCAGCATTTGGCCAATATCCCTCTAAATCCTTTCTATTCATGTTGCCATCCAGATGACTTTTAAATGTTGTAATTGTACCAGCCTCCACCACTTCCTCTGGGAGTTCATTCCATACGTGCACCACCCTCTACGTGAAAAAGTTTCCCCTTAGGTCCCTTTTAAATCTTTCTCCTCTCACCTTAAACCTATGCATTTTAGTTTTGGACTTCCCTACCCTGGGGAAAAAGGCCTTGATTATTCACCCTACCCATGCTCCTCATGATTTTATAAACTTCTACAAGGTCATCCCTCAGCCTACATTGCTTCAGGGAAAATAGCCCCAGCCTTTTCAACCTTTCCCTATAGCTCAAACCCTCCAGTCCTGGCAACATCCTTGTAAATCTTTTCTGAACCATTTCAAGTTTAACAACATATTTCTTAGAGCAGGGATACCAGAATTGAATGCAACATTCCAAAAGTGGCCTAACTTTGAGGATTTTGACCCTGAGATAAGAAAGCAACATCAATATTTTCCAGGTAATAATGGCATATGACTTGGATGTGATACTGT